CCTTTGTTTCCCCGTGGGTAATGCCAGGAAGGAGGGGACGACACAGGGGCCCATGGCCGAGCAGACTTCTCCTTGGCACATGAAGGGAATCAGGGGGAAGCTGACATGTGGGAGGGTACCCACCAGGCCGTTGGTGCTGAGGTGGTCATCAAACATCTCTACCTCCACATCCAGCCAAAGCCAAGCTCCTGTCTAAGAATCATATGCTGGGTGCTGACTGTAAGCCCAATATCGCCCCCTCGTGGTCATGAGGAGACCTGTGGCCACTGTCAGGGTCTGTAGCAGGGATGCTGCCCAGGGTCCAAAGGCAAGAGCTGGCCTATGACCGCTGGGCACAGGTGGCTCTAACCTATAGGCTGCACAGTGTGTTCTGTTCAGAGCGTCTCCAGGATGCCTCAAACCGAGTGCAGGGAGAGTTTGGGAAGGGATGGGAATTGTCTGGAGGACTCCTGCTCAGAGTTGGGAGAGCTTTGCACCCGGGGATGGGCAGCCGCAGGAGGAGCCATCTGTCCCAAGGATTCAAAGGAAGGACATGTGTCTCTTGAAGAAGATCATAATAAAGATGGTGCACCTTTAGGAATCCATGGACTCTCTTGCCTTCTGACTTTTGGTTAGAGTTGTTTTCATTTTATTTTCCCCTGTGAGATTTGCAGGCATGTGGGAGGCTTTTCTTTCTACCTGGCCCCACAAATGACCAACCTGAGCACAGGTGACCCCTGCAGACCCCATGACTAGCACCCAAGGCTGGCAGTGAGCAGGGAGTGGGCTAGGAGGGCTGTCCCTCTCTGTGCTGGGTCAGGGAAGGTGGATGGAAGAAGAAGGCTGAGGATTTTGTTTGAGGCGGGGGAACACACAGGTTTGAATTCCCTGGAGGGGTGGCTACCAGGCCACAATGCAAAAGTAGCACCTGCTGTCACAGGGAGAGAAGCAGGGAGGTTGCTATTCTGACAGTAGCTGTCCTGTGGTATAAAGTAGACTGGGAGTGACCTCCAGGACAGATTGTGAGGTCAGGTGTGTTGATTGTGTCTGGCCCATTCATAGGGCCAGGGCTGGCTCTATATGAGCAGAGTTGCCTCAATGGATGGGATGAGATGGGAAAGAGGACAATAAGATGACATGCCTGGCTTGGAGGGGCTCAGCTTGACACAGATTCCCAAGTGTGAATCTGTGGCTCCGGGAGCAGGGTGCTATGCTCTGGAGGTGCCCAGGCTGGTGTGGTTCCCAGGACAGGACCCATCGGCTTTTAGGCTGCAACAGCGACCTAAGAGTCAGGGGACTTGTGCTTATGTGCACACACTCCCTGGAGCCTCCAGAAAGCAGCTGCAAGGACACCTTGTGTCTGCTGTTCCCTGCCATTGTGTTGGAGCCCTATGTTGGAGCCACTGTGTTGGAGCCCTATGTTGGAGCCACTGTGTTGGAGCCAGTGTGTTGCAGCTGCACCAGGAAACCAAGGCAAGAGAAGTCACCATGTGGGACCTGATGCTGTGCTCATGCAGGACAAGCCTCACTAGAGCTGAGTCACATTGGAAATTCCAATGGTTTCTTCCTACTCCTCATCTGAGGGCCCACCACTCTAGGCATCAGCAGAGTGTCCCCTGAGTTTAGAACATGGACCTCTTATTTCCAGGCATAGTGGCCTGATACAAGGGAGCCTACCTGAGAACATCACCCTTCCAGCCCTCAGGGAAGGAGTCAGAGCAGTGGCCAGGTGTGTGGAGGAGGCTGCAGTGGACATCCTGGGCCCAAGTTCAAGGAGGAGACCCTCTGTCCCGTCACCATGGAGCCTGGAGAGCCCCATGTGGGGAGCCCTGAGCCTCTGCCCTGGGTGCAGGAGTGTGGAGAGGAGGCTGGTCCCAGAGAGACCAGGCAGGGCAGAGTGGAAGGTGATGGGAGGGCAGGGCTGGAGCCTCGGGCAGGGCCTGAGGCCCTTGTTCAGGGCCTGAGTCTGGGTCTGGCTCTGTCCCCTGATTACTCTGACAGCCTAGTTCTGGCCATTCAGAGCCCAGGGCAGCCTGTCTGGGTCTCCAGGAACCCAGGGGACCCCCCACACACACACACACACACATACCATGTGTAAGAGTCTCCCAGGGTTCAGGTTCCACCTCTGCTCCATCTCCCAGGGTCCAGGTGTAACCCTCCCTCAGCCCATATGGAGCATTGTCTGGTGGCAACTATGAAGCCACGTGAGCTTTGTGGTCAATACGACAATAGATGTCCACATTAGGGTTTCGTAATTCCTGAAAAAAAAAAAAACCACACACACACACACAAAGAGGACTCTGACTCTGTGGCCTTCTTAGAACAAGGACCAGGGTCCCGCCTGGACTGTGGGCCAGGATATTCATCACCCACACTCACCTGGTAGATGGGAACCGCAGACCTGTGGCCAGGGACAGGGGACTGGACAAGAGAAGGAGAGTGGACATCAGGGTCAGCAAGGGAGGGTCAACAAGGCTGAGAATCCAGTGAGCAGGTGCTGGGTGGTGCTCACTGACAGGCCAGTTTATACTTCCCTGAGTCTGCCTTATTCCTTTCTTCTCAGGAGGTACCAGCTCTGGGTCCTGGGCACCAGCCTCCACTTCTGGACAGACACCCCAGTTTCTGCCCAGATTCTCGACCCCCATCATTATCACAGGGCCACTGATAGAAGCTCCCTGCACCCTCTGTGCACTTTCTGGCCTCCAGGGCTCACTGAGACAAATGGAGGGAAGCAGGATGGACTGAGGACAGAGGGACAGTGATCTTGTCCCTGAGAGTGGCCAAGCCTCTGGCAAGAGCCAGGCTAACCTTGTCCTGGTCCCACATGAAAGGGGGTGTCTGTGCTGTGTGGGGGTTGACAGTGCCCCTGCCCTGAGCCTGCTTAGCTGGGTCCCCTGTGTGGAGGAAGGTGGGGGGACTTACCAGGGAGGTGGAGCTGTMAGAGGGACCTTGGCCTGGGGGCAGAGACAAGAGTTAGCAGGAGGGTGTGAGGAGGGTTGGGCCCCTGCCTTTAGAGCTGAGAGGCTCCTGTTCCCAGGCCCCTCCCTCCCCTGCTCAAAGCAGCAGCCAAAACAGGATCAGTGGGTGGTGACAGGGGAGGGAGGGGCCTGGGAACAGGAGCCTCTCAGCTGGGAGTCCTCAGCTGACAGAGTGACAGGGCAGTCAACCTGTCCTGAGAGAGACCCTGTAGCCCTTTTAGAGTCCCAGGGAGCCAAGGAACCTGAGAAGGTGACCAGATGCCACAGGTCTGGGCTGAACTGGCCAGATGGGTCCGCTGTCTTGAGTGTTTGTTGACAGGGCTCCTTGAAGCACCAGGGAAAGATCCCTATCCTGGAGAGGTGTTTGACTGCAAGAGTGACACTGTGGGACAGGACTAGGGGGCCCAGCCACCGGCCGGCTGAGAGGGCACTCACCATGTGATGTTGCTGGGGTGCCGGGGTCTCTGAGGCCATGCTGGACACCAGCCCTAGGAAAGGTCAGGCTTATTCATGAGGATGCAGAGAGAGGTCATGGACTGGGGTCAGATAGGGGATGAGGAGGGTACCCCATTTCCAAGGAGGGTGTGAAACTTCCTCTCTCCATCAGGTTTACGTACCAGGGGGCCCAGGACAGGGGGAACTGAGGAAAGGCCTTAAGAAGCCACTTCTGCCCTGGGCCAGAGGTGAAGGCCCCTCTGAGTTGCAGACCCAGGGGAACATTGCCTAAGGGACCCAGAAAAGGGTCTAAAGAATCAGGACCAATTAAAGCAGGAGGGTTTGATTGAGTGAAAGGGTCCATGCCCTGGGCAAGAATCAGGGTCACCAAATGGGTAGGACACTGTGGGAGCAGTTTGTATCTTGACCCTCTCTGACCTTGGTGATCCTGCTGCAGCCAGGCCATTTGCTCAGGCCAGGAGGTTTTGAAATATGACAGTGGCCTTGACCTCTCTCCACTCACCTGGCCAGGAAGCAAAGGATATTCTAGGACACACTATCCTGGCTGGGCCCCAGAACTCCCACCTCCATATCAGGGGCCACAGGTAACCAAGAAGATGTAGGGAGCTGACCCYACCAGCTTATGCAGAGTGACCTGGGACAGGACCACCGCTCAGTTACAGAGCTTCGCCCCTCAATTGGTGTGGGTGAAATAAACTGCAGGGTGCTGTTTTTGAACACTAAACTGTCTCAGGATGTGTTCTGTGTGAGGGAAGGAGGACAGTGCTCTGGGGACAGATCCCTAGTGACCAATGTGCACAGGAGGAAGCTGTTGTGGCAGCAGCCCAGGGCCAGCAGCTGGTGAGGCAGAATGAGTGGGAAGAGTCCTCGTGAGATTGGGAGGTCAGGGTCAGGCCAGAGTCTGAGGACGGGCCTCCTTCCCTCAGGCCTGGGGTCACCTGGGTGGGATCAGGTGGGGGAAGCCTGGGTACCTTCCAGTTCTTGTGTGGAGCAGGAAACACCCCAGAGCAGCCACCAGAGCCACCCCRACCAGGACCCCAGTCACGATGCCAGCSACGGCCCCCACAGGGAGGCCTGGGGTCCTCTCTGCTGCTGAAAGAGAAGAGAAAGGGCTGAAGGTCAGGTCTTCAGGGGAACCAGCTGGGCCCTGCAGGGGGCCACAGAGGGTGGAAGGAAATGGCACCAAGGTCCCAGTGCAGTTTGTGATGTCGTCACCATGTCCTCCTGACTCTCTGCTTCTGGCCATTTCCTCAGGTTTGGGCTGAAACCCTGCATGTGCTCTAGCCTGTCCCTCTCCACACGGAGCTGGGCCACACCCTGCTCTTGTTCCTTTTAAGTCCTCTTCCTCTTTTCTTCCTTCCCATCTCAGGACAGTGTCAGCGGGCAGCCCTCACAGACTGTCTAGCCCAGGCCTAGCCTCGGGTCAGATCAGAACCAAGGTGACATCAAGGCACCTAATTTCTGGGTAGTCAACCACATTCTCTCCAAGCTCTGGCATCTACCCCATGCTCATGGCTGGTGCCGTATGATGGCCCTTGACAGTGGAATATGTGACGGAAGCTCTGGGTGGGATGGGGCCACTCACAGATCACAGCCAGTCTGTAGCGGTCACTCCTGGTGGAACTGGCGGGGTTGGAGGCCTCACACTGATACTCCCCGGCATCCTCCTGTCTGACGGGGTCTATGCGGAGGGTCCTGTGGTCCGGGGACAGCTGYATCCTGTCTGTGAGCTGCAGAGTCTGGCTGTTGAGGATCCACGTGATGGAGAGTCCAGGGCCACCTGAGAGGCAGGTCAGGGCCACAGAGTGTGGTTCTGTGTTGGTGGCTCTGAGGGAGGGCTGGGCCACAMGCCCTGTGGAAAAACAGCAGGGGGCTGACTGAGAGTGGGCCTGAGGCCTGGGGCCCTGTCTGTCCTCAGAGTCGTCTGCCTGTTCTCAGGGTCCCTGTCCCTCTGTGCTCACCACACCTAGTCCCAGGAGAAGGAGATGCCCAGGTGCCCTTGCCCAGATGTGGCTCCTGGGACTGTGCCCTGGCTGCTAACCACCTCCAGGAGCTACCAGATCAGGTGGCCAGTAAATCATTGCTCCCCAGCGGCCCTCAACAGGAAGCCAAACTCCAACCCTGGCCACATGTCCTCAGGGTCACCTGGAGCCAGGAGCCTGGGCCGAGGTCTGGGGCAGGAGCTTCCTGGGCTGACCTTCTCTGTGAGGACTCCAGGGCCCTCAGGCAAGGCCTGACTCAGTCCTGCAGGGTCTTTCTCAGGGCCATGCTCCTGGGAAGGACACAGGGGCTGGGCTGAGACTGCTCTGCCTGGGTTGAGTCTCCCACCAGACCACCTGCTCTCTGCCCCTGGATTCAGGCAGAGGACTCRGATCTTCTGAAGTCTGTCTGCCCTGCGTGTGTCCTGCACTAAATGCTCCAACTCCACTGTGGGGACGTAATGCACAGGAGGATGTAGGTAGAGGTAGGTCTCAGGGTCCTTGTGTGCACTGGAATTAACCCCTCCCAAAACCCAGAGGGCTGGGGCATCACTCACTGTGTACATGGAACTCTCCAGTTGCTGATTCAACCCTAGCATTGGCAGTTACAGTTTGCATGGTGTAGAATCCTGTGTCGTTCTGTGTCACTTTCTGTAACAGCAGGGACCCATTGGGGTATATTTTCTCTCCTCCACTGGATGCAGACCCTAGGATAGTTACTTGTATGGATACTATGTATGATACAATTTCATGTCTGCCATCTGCTGTTTTTCCTTTGAACCAGTTGTAGCCTATTGCATTCTCCGACACATTGTGGACAAGTAGAAGAACGTCTGTCCCTTCAGCAGCATTGAAAGGCACTGGTTCAAYAGTGAGCTGGGCAGTGGGGTGCGGGTTCCAGAAGGTTAACAGTGAGACTAGGAGGGAAGAGAGAGAATCCATCAATACTGGGCCCTTCATATGGGGTGGAAAGATGAACCAGGTCCTCAGCAGGAGTCATCATCCTCAGCCTTGGGGTGTATGTGCATGTGTGTCTGTGGGTCAAGACCAGCAGATTGATCTACATTCCTTCAGGACCCCTGTACCTGTCATCCTCTCTTGGGAACACCTTTCCCCAGGTGTCTGCAAGGCTGGCCCCTCAGTGCCCTCAGATCCCTGCTCACACCCAGGGCACCTGGGCACCCGCCTCCCCTGACCACCTCCTTACAGACCCCATGTCTTCCCTGTGGACATTTCCCTGCTCTCCGACCACCGAGATCTACACAGCACCTGGCCTCACCTGCAGATCTCCCTCTGGCCTGGCCTCCTGCCCTCTAGAGAGGAAGCTCCAGGAGGCAGAGACTAGTCTGACCCTGTTGTAGCCCAGGGCCTGGACCAGGCTCAGCCTCCTGTGGATGAGTGGAGCAGGGTCCCCGCCCTTAGCATCCAGATGACTGTGTGCCAATGTCTGAGGCTGGTGGCTACAGACAGTGTCCACTGTTCTTTCTGTTTGGAGGGTGGCCCTGACAGAGCTGATAACACCGATTTTCAAAATATAAAGGCCCCTGGTGAGTAAGTTGGGAAAGAGAACCCCTGAGCTTTCCATCCCCCTCAACCAGCTCCAGGTCACTGAGAGTTTCCTGTTGGTGAGCTTCTGTCTTCTGTGTTCTGTTCCCATCAGGTTCCCAGTGAAGCCCTGTGTCCCCTGTGAGGGTCCTGTCCTCCCCAGGGGGCATCAGAAAGACTCTATGTTCCCACTTCCCTCCCTCCGCAGGGAACTGTCCCCTCTTACCTGCCAGCAGGACCCCCTGCCAGGGGATGCCCCCTCTGCAGGGACAGGCTGAGGGGGGCTGCATGGTCCCTGCTGCTCTGTCCCCTCTGTGGAAGGAGCTTCACTGCAGACCCGCTGGGAAGCCGAGGTCCAGGCCAGTCAGCCCTGCTGCCCTGCTCCTCTCTGAGCTCAGCCTCCTCCCAGGGCAGGAGCACTTTCCTGGGGCACAGGGCTGGGGGCGGGGTCTCTGTGGAGGAACCTCTCTGTCCCCTCCCTCTCAGTCCTGCCTCCTGTCCCTTCTGCTTTCCCTGTTGGGTTTCACTACTGCATGCCACACCCTGAGGAGCAAGGCAGGTGGGGACGCTGTCCCCTGAGAGAAGTGGCTCACCCAGCACTGGCCTCAGCTGTGTCCTGGCCTCAGGGCTCTCAGCACCACCCAGGGAGCCCCTGGGGTCCCCTCACCCTGGGCATATTCCCCTTTATGGTATAGAATCCCAGGTTAGCCCTCTTTTTTCCCCACGTTCTCAAATGCTCTAGGAAGGTGGATTTCCTCCCAGCAGGAAGGGGACAGAGAGCCCCAGTTTCTTAGAAAGGGGGGCCCACAGAGATGGCAGGTGAGGGGCCCTGCTCTCTGTCCTGGTGTCTCCAGCGTGGCCTCTGAGTGGCTATCTCAGGACTTCAGACCTTTTGTGTCCTGGGAGGGGAGGACTGTGGTAGTGGAGGTAGGTGACCGTGGGCTCCTTGGTCCTCAGGGAGAGATTTTAGGGAGACCCTCCCTCTCCATTTTTTTTTGACAGAGCTGTGACTCAGGCCTGCCCATTCCTTCCTTGGGTGGCTTCTGTCCTCTACCTAGTGATTCTCCTGTGGTCACTGTGCCTTTTTCCAGGGGTGATGCCAGGAGACAGGGCTAACTCAGAACCCCCTGGAAGCACAGGGTCCTCGAGGCCCAGGAAGGAGTCGGGGTGGGAGCCGAGTAGGTTCATGGGAGACACTTCACTGTGTGTTGGGGATGGAAATCAGGCCACATTTCCACCTCCTGGAAAACCTAGTCCAAGTGTCAGGATCAATCTGCCAAGTGTTGACTGTGAGTCCCATGCCGCCCCCTGCAGGTCATGAGGAGACCTGTGGCCAGTATCAGGAACTCTAGCAGGGATACTGTCCAGGGTCCAAATGGTGAGAGCTGGCCCTGACCCTGGGTCCAGGTGGCCTTGACCTACAGGCTGCAGGGTGGGTTCTGTTCACTGAGGGTCCCCAGGCTGCCTGACTCTGTCCAGGGCAGGGTGAGTCTAGTGAGATGACGGGAGCTGTCCTGGGGACTCCTGCTCCAGAGTAGGGAGAACTGTGCACCCAGGGGAAGGGCAGCCTCAGGAGGGGCCATTTGTTCCTGAGGCTTCAAAGGAAGGGCCTCCGGAAGTGTCTCTTGAGGCTTTAGGTGTAAGCACTGGCTTTGTGAGCTGGGTCTGAAGTTGGCTGGTTTGTTTCTTGTCTTTAAATCTTTCGATCTTAGTCCAAAGGGCCTGTGGGTTGTTGGATGAGTATTATGGAGATTATCTGGCCAGATGCATGACACAGCCTCTCATCCCAGCTGTTCAAGAGGCCAAGGCAGGAGGATCACAAGTTGAGTCCAGTCCAGGGCAACTTAGTGAGACCTTGTCTCAAAATAAAAAATGAAATGTAGTCCAGTGATAGAGTGCCCTGGGGCCAATCACTAGTCCCTCATATCTCTCTCTCTCTCTCTCTCTCTCTCTCTCTCTCTCTCTCTCACAAACACACACACACACACACAATGTAAGCAGAGTGGGTATATTTTACACATCTTCCCTAAAGACTTTTCATTGTGTAATATTTATAACAAAAATGTGCTCTATTAACATTTTTAACTGTACAAATACATGCCATGATTCCAGTCAAGTATACAATGACCGCTACTATTTCCAGAATCTTCTCATCAGCTGCACTAAAACTCTAACCATTATACAATCACGTCACAGGACCCCCAAGCCCCAGGTAAACGTAAATCTATTTCCTGTCTCTATGAATTTGCCTATTCCAGATAGTTCATATAAATGAAATTATACAACTACATACCATTTTGCTTCTTGTTKAATCATGTTTTCAGTCTAATCAGGTTGTAGTATTTTTTTGTGGATGATTAATAATCCAACATATATATTTGTAAGTCATGTTTATTTATGTATTCCTCTGTTGATGGACACTTGGGTGGTTTCCACTCTTGGCACGTGCCCAGCCATGGGGGTGCTGGGTAGATGAGCTTCTGCCTGGCTCTGGCAGGAAGTGCCCAAGTGCTCTCCACAGCACTTCAGAGTCCCTGGGCTAATGTAGGAAGGTGTGGAGTCATTGATTTGTTTCTATAGTGACTCATGACACTGAGCATCTTGTCATGTGTTTATTGGCCACTGGAACATCTCTGGAGATGTGCTATCCAAGCCCTTTGACCACCCCATCCTTTTCAATAAGGGATTGATCTGAGGAGTTCTGCAGCTCTGAACTACACCCCAGCACTTTATATATTTATTTATTTTCACTTTGAGACAGTTGCCCAAACTGGCTTCAAACTTGCCAATCTCATGTCTTAGATGCCTGGGGTTACAGACACCCAGGACTGTGCCCGGCTCCTTGGCCTCTTTTAAACATAGGATATTCATTGGCTGCACATTTGTACCTGTTTTTTATATATTCTAGCATGACACCCATATCACATATATGATTTGCAAATATTTTCTTCCATTCTGTCACTTCCATTTCTTTTTCTTTTTTTGTAATTCCTTCACTCATTATTTTATTAGTAATTTTGTTAAAAGCCTAGATCAATATTCATTTACAAAAACAAATTCAGTCTTTTATGGTAAATACTTTACGGTTTTAAAAAATAAATTCATTGTCACATTTGAAAGTSTTTACAAGTGAGGATCCATTGACCCTCTGCCTCCTGCTTCCTGGGAGGTGCTGTTGAGGTGGGTCTGTTCGGGATTCTTCTCCCCCTGCTCGGCCTCTCCCTCTCTCTCTTTCCAGAAGCAGAGGATTTTGTGTCCTGGGCATTTTTCTTTCTCTCCCAACAGCTCAGAGGACTGGGGCAGCTTATCTTCCTGCAGTTGTTCTTCTCTGTGCAGAGTTTCCACTAAACCTGCTCTTCTTGGAGTTGCTGCYACTCTGTCCCTCGAGCACATGGACAAGCTGGTCACGGTCATAAAGTAGTTGTGTTGGTAAAGTTTGTGCAAAACCTTTAGAGTTCTGCACTAAGCCTGAGATGAGCTCCAGCCACTCTCTTTACCTTCAAAGACAGATTCTGACCTCATTTTGCTACAAAATCATGATGCGGATCGCCCTGTCCAAACATGAAAGAGGACATTCTGATCCACTCATGGCATTCTAGGAATGGGGACAATGTCAGAGTTAGTTTTCCTGTGCCATCAGTTTTGCTCTGTAAAGTCGTTCCCAGTGTCTCTCTGCTGGCACACATGTGGGGGTACCAGCTGCATCTCCCCCATGATGCAGTGGGGCAGCTGTTCCCACAGCTGGTTGTGGTCCCACAGAGCTCCCGGTGCTTGGGTGGGACCAGGCAGTGCCCAACAGACCTGAGCATAGGTGCCTGCTTTCATAGGTTCAGCTTCCAGAAGTTTCCAGTACCTGTGAGCACAGTCAGTGGCAGAGAAGGCAGGACCCCAGGGAGAATTGCAATTAAAAAAACAAAAAAGAGTGTGAGACTCTCCACATCCAGCCCCTCAGCCACCAGTCAGGGCCCCTGGGGAGACGGAAATATCCCAGACTCATGGACATCCTCGGAGATGACCAACTGCAGCAGGAAGCAGCTGATGGCCCTGGAGGGGGTTAGGAGCCACCTTTAGTACCGTAACAAATTCAAAGAGGAAGAGCCTAGTCATTTCCACCAGAACACAATGCTGTAGATAATGTGTGAGCAGAAAGGCCTCCCTCCATCACCTTAAAAATGAGCAGAAAGCACTTGAAAGGAAAATAGTGCCAGTAACTGTGATGCATGTTCTGCTCTTCTAGAAGCCTGTGAATGCACATTTGGCAATTGTCTCTTAAGAAGATGGAGAGCTGTCCACACAATGTGGACTGTGCTGTCATACATTTGTATGGCTCACCCTCTCTGCACAGCAACGAGGTGCTCTGTGTCCGTGTCCACTGGTCACCCCTGCACACAGCGAGAGGAGGCTCACACTCCCCCAAGAGCTGGAAAGTGTCTTGGTTCCCCTTCATCCCACCACCCAGAATGGTCCAAATTCTGCTGGTCACAGTGTTRGGACCCCAGGTGGAGGTCTGTTCAGGGTCRTRTGAAGGGAACAGTCCCTGAGAATGTGTCCCTCCAGATCACATGCAGGGGKCACTTGGGCCTGTGATGATGTCAAGATGAGTGAGAGGAGCAGAGGTCAGGGACAAGGACATTGAAATCGCCCAGAGCCTGAGAGGTGACAGGTGAATGGTGAGGACCCTAAAGGTTCTCCTCTTACCTGCCCCCTGAAGAAGAGCAGTGAAGGTCCCTGTGGCTCAGAGTGGGCCCAGAGTTGGGGCAGCAGAGTGCTGCAGGCCCAGGGGCTGGTGAGACCCCAGCTCTGTCCAGCCACCTGATCTGTGTGGGGTGGAGTCAACTTAATGAATAATCCACAGTCTACAACGTGGAACATGAAGAGAAATTCCTGTGCTGTCCTCTCCTCTTACTAAGACCTTTCTTCCTAACTTAGAGCCGACTTTGCCGTCTTTGCTCAGAGGCCTCCTGAGGTGGTGAGAGTGGCCCAGGGACTGTCCAGGTGCTGGGTGTGGGCTCAGATCACGGGATTCCTCTTCCCAGTGCTCCCYGYGTCCAGGATGTCATGAAACCCAGCAGGTGTCACTGATGTGTGGCTACTGACCCTTGGGAAGCCCACAGTGCTGTGGAGGTTCAGGCAGCTGTGCGGCCATCACCTAGAAACATGTCTTCTCCAGAGACTTCAAGTGATTGATAGTGACCAGCACCAGTCAGTCTCTGCCCTCTTACACTCAGGTCTCCTAACAAGAGGGGTGAATTTCATCTTGGAGTTGTTTAGTGCAGGTTGGTGTAGACCAGTGAGTCTCAGCCAGGGGCCATGTTGCCATCCAGGGGACATCTGGCAGCGTCTGGAGACATTTCTGATTGACACAGCTGGGGGAGGGGTCCT